AGCATAGAAAACTAATACAATTCATTTTCCTTATTCTAGAACTTAACAAAAATGGAATCATATGTACTCTTCTTATCTGGCTTTTTTTTTTTTTTTGCTCAGCATCACATCAGTGAGATTCACAATGTTTTGGCATTCCTTTTTATCGCTGAGTAACATTCTATTGTATGAATATACAATTTTTAAAATCCATTTTCCATTGACAGACATCTAGGATGTTTCCAGATTTTGGCTACTGTGAATAAACCTGCCATGTGCCTTAGTGAACAACTCTTTGTATGGATTTGCTTTCATTACTCTGGGTAAATATCTTGTAAGTAGAACGAAAGGGTTCAGCGGTTCCTAACCTTTTTGGCACCAAGGACAGGTTTCATGGAAGACAATTCTTTCATGGATGGTTTCAGGATAATTCAAGCACATTATATTTATTGTACAAGCTTCTCTGCTAATGATAATCTGTATTTGCAGCTGCTCCCCAGTGCTAGGATCACCGCCTCAGCTCCACCTCAGATCATCAGGTATTAGATTCTCATAAGGTGCATGCAACCTAGATCCCTCACATGGACAGTTTACAGTAAGGTTTGCACTCCTATGAGAATCTAATGCCATCACTAATCTGACAGGAAGCAGAGCTTATGTGATGACGGGGAGCAGCTGTAAATACAGATGAGGCTTCACTTGCTTGCTTGCTGCCTCTCACCTCCTGCTGTGAGGCCCAGTTCCTAACAGGCCAGACTGAAAACGTCCATGGCCCAGGGGTTGAGGACTGCAGTGTTATATGACAAGTGTAGGTTTAACTTATTTGAAAACTGCCAATTTGTTTTCAAAAGTAGTTATACCCTTTTGCATTCCTACCAGCAATATATTTGCATTCCAGTTGCCCATACTTGTATTGTCAAGTCTTTAATTTCAGCCATTTTGGTGGGGATAAAGTAGTGTCTTACTGTGGTTTTAATTTGTATGTCTTTGAGCAGTGATGTTGAGTATCTTTTTGTGTGCTTATTGGCCGTTTACATTATCTTCTGTTAAATGTCTGTTCAAATCTTTTGTATCAATAAACCTCAGGCCAGGCGCGGTGGCTCACACCTGTAAGTAATCCTAGCACTCTGGGAGGCCGAGACGGGCGGATTATTTGAGCTCAGGAGTT